ATGGAAGATAGTTATTGATAGGCCTTATCTCTAACTCTAATTTAAGCAGTATCAGCTATTTTGCTAAAACCCTGTATGCCAAGGCAGACAGTACATTAGGAAGTGTAAGAGAAACATTACAAAATCACACGTCTGGAATTGGTATTTATATCCATTATTCATTAAGACTTACAGACTTCAGAGCAGAGAGTGAGGTTTCTTACTCTAAGGAGGAGAAATGGATCAGCAGTTGTGTACTGCTGTTGCAGAGGACCCATATTTAGATAGCTCACAACTACCCATGACTGGCTTCTGGCCTCTGCAGGCACTGCACCCACAGCCAGACACACATACATGCACACACTTAATAAAAATAAAAGATTCTAAGAGAAGATTTCTGTCTCTCCAGATTACTTAACATGATAATTATAAACAAGTTATTTCACTCCTGAGGACGTGTCTAGTGTCTGATTTCAGATAGAAGAGGGCTTGATTCTAACATGCAGTTGGGATTCTGTTATGCGCAGCCCCAGGTCCTGTTCCTAGTACATGCTATGTTAACAGTTTTGCTTTGGTTCTTTTTTGCTAAAAGCAAACTAATTCTGCATAAATCAGATTAGAGGAGATTGGAGTTTTCTAAATAGATCTGAAATCTGGGGTGGTCTTCTAAAAGGCGTAGGAATGCTTTTGAGGTTTGCATGGTAGCACACATTCTGTGGCCCCAGAAAGAACCTTGAGTTCAGGCCAGCCTGGACTATGTGGGTAGACCCAGTCTTTAAAACAAAACAGGTCAGAACAAAATGTTAATGGTTTCTTTGATTGTAGAATAAGCTTAAAGACAAGTGTCCTGTCATGTCAGGTTTTAGGACTTTGATCTAGACTCTTAGGAAGCCTGACCAACCTGGAGGCAATTCCTGGGCCAGAGGCATCTTCTCTGCTGCCTAAATTCCTAAGAACCGAAGCCTGATATTAGTCATCCTTCTTGGTGTTTACTTCATTTTTTTTCAACCTTCCTTCAGAAGCCTCATCAAAACTATTCCCTAACTTGAGCGATACAGTAAATAGATGTCATAGGAGGTCCACTTCACAAGTAGCAAGCTGACACTGTTTCCACTAACACATTTAACGAGAGAAACAGGTTAGTGTTTCTCCTGGCTTTCTTTCCTAATAGGTGGCTAAAATACAGATTATTCCAAATACCTAATATAAAAAAATTTAGCTTCTTTCATCTAAATAGTGATGGCCTAATGGAGCAATACCATTCATTTGCCTTTTTCCCCCCTCTAGGAACATTTCATGGAAGTGATCAGAAACCAGGAATTTGTTTTACTCCCAGCCAATGAAATTGCAAAGCTCTTGGCCAGTGACGACATGAACATTCCTAATGAGGAGACAATACTAAATGCCCTTCTTACTTGGGTCCGGCACGATTTGGAGCAGAGGCGGAAAGATCTCAGTAAACTTTTGGCTTATATTAGGCTACCTCTCCTTGCGCCACAGGTAATTCAATTGGCACTGGTCTACAGGTGTTTTTCTTTGGCTAGTCTGTCAAAGTAATTTATTCATGTATTCCTGTGGAATATATCAATTAAAAGATATTAAAGTAACAAAATGCTACTTCTGTTTGCAGTTCAGAGGGTCAAGCTATCTAAATTGTACTGATTAAGGAGCACTCTTGATTTTGAGTTAGCAATTTTATTGAATTCTACTATCAACCTAACCTACTAACTAGAGGAAACAGTGTAAGACCCAGAAATTTTAGATCAGCTCATTATCACACGTTGGTTAAGTACCCTTTGGCTACTAGGTCCTGTGGTAAATGCTCTGACACTTGAAGCTTTGATTTGTCACTCAGTGTATGCACATGTCACAGCCTCCCCATCCATGAGGCAGAGATGATCTGCTCATGTAGAGATACCTCTTGTCTGACTCTCAGGATTATGATGAGAGAAATGCTTTCTGCAAAACAAAATGTGCTATAAATAATGCCATAGTTGCAGAAAGAAGAGGCCTCTGGCCAGTGTGCTCAAAGTTGTCAGTCATTACATGCTTGCACAATATTTCCTGTGTACAGTTTTCACTGGAATATATAGGAATCTCCCCAGCATTTTTTTTCCTGGTTCTCTCAGGCATTGGATAGAGAAAGAGGCCTTGAACGCAGAGAAGGTGAGAGCTCTTGCTGATTCAGGCTTGGTCTTTTCCTTTTTCTTATTATTTAAAATGCTACAAATGCTGCCTTGTTTGTATTAATCTTGCAAATAATGCATTATTTCTGGCTACTGTGAGTGGAAGTTATTGCTTGCACTCTACCTAGCAAAAACAAAAGTCACTGCCAAGGCCTCATGCTAAGCCCTCCCTGTTCATAATCAGAACTGTATGAATGGTTGGCAATTCAAGAAAAATAACATAATAAAGGATTTCTCTTGAAGTCAGATTTAAAGAGGGCCCTTAAACTTTTCTTGCTTCCTGGCAGATATTCCTTCCTATTCTTTTCTGAATGATTATTATGTGACGGTCTCAAATGTTTCTTGAGAAATAGGATCAATGGCACCTATGAACTTTTGAGATGGGTTCTAGAAGGTGATTGGATGAGCCCTGTACTCATCTGAGTGCACACTCAGTTTGGAGAACCATTGTCTGTGATGAGTGGTAGCAATGGAAGAGCAAATATGATTGAGTTGGCTACAGTGTCCTGCATGATGTCACCTCTCTGAGCTATAGTTTTCTTTCCTATGGTGATAATACTAAGTTACAGGATTGCAACACATAGAGTTACTCTGTTGCCTCCCTACACACACACACACACACACACACACACTATAACTGCCACTAAGGGCAGTTGGTGCTGCCATCTGTGCTTGAGTATAGGACACATGGGCAATCTATTCATCAGCTATTTTGCTAAAACCCTGTATGCCGAGGCAGACAGTACATTAGGAAGTGTAAGAGAAACATTACAAGATCACACGTCTGGAATTGGTATTTATATCCATTATTCATTAAGACATACAGACTTCAGAGCAGAGAGTGAGGTTTCTTACTCTAAGGAGGAGAAATTAGGAACTACCTGGCTGTAGGAAACTGTGCCTATCTTGGTGGCTATCACTGACCAAAAGCCCCTCAGCCTTGTGAGCCCCTCCTGCATCCATGCTGGAACATTGATGGCTTGGTCTTATGCAGGCAACCACAGCCGCTATTAGTCCTGCCATGTCCAGAACTTACTATTTCAGACAGTCTTCCCTGACCTCTGGCTTTTATAATCTTTCTGCCCCCCTTCCACAATGTTCCTTGACTAATTGCAGGAGAGAAGCTCTCTCTCTCTCTCTCTCTCTCTCTCTCTCTCTCTCTCTCCCCAGACACACATACATGCACACACTTAATAAAAATAAAAGATTTTAAGAGAAGATTTCTGTCTCTCCAGATTATTTAACATGATAATTATAAACAAGTTATTTCACTCCTGAGGGCGTGTCTAGTGTCTGATTTCGGATAGAAGAGGGCTTGATTCTAACATGCAGTTGGGATTCTGTTATGCGCAGCCCCAGGTCCTGTTCCTAGTACATGCTATGTTAACAGTTTTGCTTTGGTTCTTTTTTGCTAAAAGCAAACTAATTCTGCATAAATCAGATTAGAGGAGATTGGAGTTTTCTAAATAGATCTGAAATCTGGGGTGGTCTTCTAAAAGGCGTAGGAATGCTTTTGAGGTTTGCATGGTAGCACACATTCTGTGGCCCCAGAAAGAACCTTGAGTTCAGGCCAGCCTGGACTATGTGGGTAGACCCAGGCTTTAAAACAAAACAGGTCAGAACAAAATGTTAATGGTTTCTTTGGTTGTAGAATAAGCTTAAAGACAAGTGTCCTGTCATGGCAGGTTATAGGACTTTGATCTTAGGAAGCCTGACCAACCTGGAGGCAATTCCTGGGCCAGAGGCACCTTCTCTGCTGCCTAAATTCCTAAGAACCGAAGCCTGATATTAGTCATCCTTCTTGGTGTTTACTTCATTTTTTTTCAACCTTCCTTCAGAAGCCTCATCAAAACTATTCCCTAACTTGAGCGATACAGTAAAGACTTGTACAGCAAGAGTTTTACTCACTGAGCCATCTCACCAGTTCCCGAAATGATCTTTTTAAAAAATTCTGCTTATGTGTGTGTGCAAACACTTGTATGTGCTATGTATACTAGTTTGTATGAATGCACAAGTCTCTGTAGCACATGAATGAATGTGAGTGCATGCAGAGGCCAGGGGCCAACACCAAGTATCTTCCTTGATCACTCCTCATCATATTTTTTGAGACAGGGTTTCTCATTGTATCTGGAGCTCATCACTATGGCTAAAATGGCTGGGGCGCGGGGCCCCCGGAGCCCCCCCCCTCCCCCCCCCCCCAAGTG